ATTGTGTGAAATTTAGAAAAAATTTGAACATTCTGAAAAAAAGTTAACGTTCAGAAAATAAGTACAAAAATCTAAATTCACAAAAAATGTATATAAAAGGTTCCAAAGTTGCCCTAATGCTCTCCCGAGAACCAGTAAACGTCCAAAACATACATAAAATGTTTCTTGTGGAAAATAATATGATGTATGTACGATATGATAATATAATGTGTTTAATTATAATACGCTTTGCTTTGAGTCCCCTGCAGAAGAATAGTAAACAAACTTTCAAAACCTGAACTGATTCGACTCACCTCTCCTTCTGATGGGCCCCACACTCAGGATGTGCTCTTGATGGTTACCTTCCTCTGAGTACATCCTTCTTTTGTGAGGACAGTTCTGTATACACAACATAATATCACATTCATGCAGCAGACAAAGTTTCATAACCTTTATTAAAAAAAAAAAACATTCGAACAAGTCCTCACCACTTTGCAGGCGCTAATTTCCGAGTCGCACAGCGTGACGTCGCAGTGGAGATGAACCTCGTCGTAATCTCCGATGAATTTGAAGACGGTGACGTGGAAACGGCAAGTCAACGACACGCCATTTTCTGCCATCCCGATGGTGTTGTCCTTGATGTTCGGACACCTGGAGAGGGACGTTAAAGGAACAAGAAGTGAAGAAGATTTACTTTACTATTGTGTTTTTCAAAAAATATTATATAAAAAAAAGATTGTTAAAATGATATTGAACCTTTTTTTAAATAATAAAAATATATGAAAAGATTTTTTTTCAAAAAAAAATTAAATAAAAAAGATATTTTAAATAAACCTAAAGACGGATTGTGGAATGAAAACCTAAAATAAAGATATTTTAAAAGCATAAGAAGTCAAATATGTAATAAAACTGCAAAAAATATTTGTATGGACCGTGTGTGTGTGTGTGTGTGTGTGTGTGTGTGTGTGTGTGTGTGTGTGTGTGTGTGTGTGTGTGTGTGTGTGTGTGTACCCTCTCTCGATGATGATGTAGCGCAGGCGGTCGCTGCTGTATCGTGACGGCGTGGCCCAGCACATGTTGACGATAAGGATCAGCTGGTTCTCGTCGGCTCCCTCGACGAAGACTCCGACGAAGAGGATGTCCCGCGTGCTGAGCACCACTTCGCCCTCTCTGTAGGGGTTTCTGTACGAAGAGTTCTTATACAGAGCCATCTTCGTGACAAAGTTCCCCTCCTGAGTCGGTAACGTCAGGTTTATCACACTGCAGGGGGGGGGAATTAAACCGGGGGTTGAAATTACAAATAATATTTAGTTTTGTTTAAATTGAACGGATTCAAATCTGTTCAAAAAACAGATTCTACATTTAAGAATGAAAACAATTATAATGATAACATGTAAATTAGTGTAAATAAAAAATAAATATAGGTCCAAAATATTGTGTTAAAAGTCAAAATTCTGAAAAGAAGTGAAAGTTCTGAAAAAAGTCGTAATTGAGCAAATATAAAAAAATTCTTAAAAAAAGTCAAATTCTGAAAAAAAGTCAAACTACTGAAAAAAAGTCTAAATTCTGAAAAAAAGTCAAACTACTGAAAAAAAAGTCAGAATTGTGAAAAAAACACATTCCATAAAAAAAGTTGAGATTTAGAAAATATTTCAAATTCCTGAAAAAAATTCTGAGAAAAAACCCTCAAAATTCGATAGAAAAAATTAAGATTTTGAAATGAATTCAAAATTCTGAAAAACTATTTTAAACATTATTAAAGTGTCGGACCTGAGCATGGGCTTGAGGACGGTCTCCAGAGAGATCTTCAGGTCCAGCTCGTAGGCGCAGGAGAACTCAACGTTGATGGTGCGGTCTCTCGTGATCACGTTCCCCGTGTTGTTCACGCTCTCAATCCACACCGTGTTCTTATACATGATGTGGGTCCCGTTAGACTGTAAATTATAAGTATATATTTCACTGGAGAACACCTTACATTTTGGGAAACACTGCTTCAGAGTGAAATTAGAGGTTACTATTAATCTCATGTCTGTGTTTGTTAAATACAGAGCTGTTAACTTAGCTTAGCTTAGCATGGCCTAGCATACACCTCTAAAACTTACCAATAAATGTATGTATTTCATAAATAAAATAAAAAACATACATTTATATTTAAATTGGTGTTCGAACTTCTTGTGATTAGTCATGTTGCTCACTATATTTATTTTGTAATTTATTACATGTTTTTGGTTTGGTTTGGTTATATTTTTGTTTGTCTGTTTTGTCTGAAGTGTAGGTCTTTGTATTGTATCATAATTTTACGTTGAAAAAAACAACTTGGCTAACCCTGCAGGATACTTCTTCCTGCAATGTCCATATTTAATGATATATTTTAATATAATATAACATTACAGAAAATTATGTTACATCCAAGTTTTAAAGGCTTTATTGACATTTGCATAAAGGTTGTTGGAAATCAACATTTTAAGTCCCTCTAATAGTGAAACATACAATATAAATAAGACGCAAAAGAAATAAAGTAATTGAATAGTGCAAGAAAAAAGCAGTACGTGTTTCATCAAAATTGTTACCAATTCATGTTTGATTAATTGTCTGATTACATTATTAATAAAAAAATGAATATATCATCACCTGTACGATGGATCCGCAGTGGCCCTTGGTGTTGTTGATGTGGAAGGAGATGAAGTCTTCGCCCTCGATGCCTCCGCAGTGCTCGTCGTTGATCCGGACGTCTTCTCGCTCGAAGCCCAGCTGGAAGAGCTTACACTTTGAGATGGAGACCTCCATCTTAGCGTGTTTACAGGTCACCTCCGCCTGAATGATGTCATCATCGCCTGCACACACACAAAAGTTCTACTATTATACTATTTGTAGGCCTATATTATAGGTCTGCTGCTGGCCACGCCCTTTTGGAGCATCCACATGCAAGCAGTGAGCTCTGTGAAGAGAAGAGTGATTGAACGCCATATTATGTTCCAAACCACATCAA